TTAACGGAAGAAATAGGATTTGACATCTGACAGCGAATTATCAATGAATTCTATAATAACGGTTTAATTTTTTTAATCTGGCCTAAGTTATGATTGTTTTTAAACTCACAAGTCTTTTATAGTTTAATGTTTAAGACCTTATTTTAAGATGAGATATTTTAATCAGCAGTTATTTTGAATGGCTATTATATATCTAAGGTGCAGAGATGCTTAATGTTTATGTATGTTAAGCTTTAATATTTTATTAGTAAATGTTTAAAATTTGGCCCTTGAGACCCGACCCCGGCCGGACTCGCCCCGCGCCCCCGCGCCCGCTGCACGCCCCGCGCCCCGCCGCCCGCACTCCGCCCCGCCGCTCCATCGCCCGCATATCACCCACATTTCTATCTTCAACCCTACGTGTGATATTTTGTAATAGGTGTGTTTAATATTTTGCGGTATTGTAAACATGACATTATTTTCTATGGAGCTGACAACGCTACTTAGTATTTTATATTTATATTTTTATACTTAGAAGTTTTGTAAATTATTTTCTAGTTAAGAAATTTTCCCCTGAAAGTTAAACTTGTGCACCGGTCATTGTGGGGTATATTGGATTGGACTTGTACGTACACCACGGCTCGATGTCTCGACGTATCTCCGAGGCGCGTTGGATAATTTCTTTCAGGACGAGCTCGTTAGAACCGAACATATTGTGAAGTACGGAAGCAGTCTATATAAAATTCATATAAAGTTCAACATAATCAACGGCACCTAAGATATAAGTCATATTTTTGTAAACCGAATGACTACGATTAGATCTCTCGATATAAAAATGTTTTCTTACGTATCTTTACAAACAAATATATCACATATCTAATCATAATAACTCTCACACAACGTATATTAGGATAATATTTTGATACCAATATTCACCGCATTTCTTTTTGATATAACTAGCATATATTTAACTACTCCCGTAACATCGTTTTGATACAAATGTAAGTATACTTTTATCGGCATAATCTTACAGTACGGTCGTAGTGTACTCAGTACAAGAGAACTATGTATCTGTAAAGACATATCATACGGATATAAAATAAATCAGTGAGAGGCTGACTGTAGTCCGGAACCGCCGAAGTGTAACGAGGCCGTAGAGGTTCCGCCGCGACCGACGCGATCTGCTCAAATAACAATAAACCTGCCGCAGCGTTGACGCAACGTATGTTCGACCGATGCATTCCCTCGAGACTTCACTTTCTTAGAGTTTTTATATGTAACTTTACCCTTTTTGAAGAGTTTAGCACGAGCATAGTTTGCGTTAGCGCGCCCGCGACTGCCGCGTCCCCCGCGTCGCTGCTGCTTCCCCTTGTCGTTGTCGTACGGTGGCTTGGTGCTAGTTACGTCTTGTACGCGGGATACGATTTGCTTCAGTGTCTCGGACCAAAATCTTTTAAGCTATTTTTAATCTTCTTATCATTAATATTCTTCGCTTTATGTGTCAAATATGTGCGAATTTGTCGTGAAGTAAACGTATATTATTAATTGAATCGATTGTGTATATCGACCTGTATAATGGTTTAGATTTATCTGAATTTCTTGTTCTATAAGGATATCCAACATTCAATAGTCGACCGGGCTGGAGTGACCGCGCCGTTTATGGTTGTGTCAAGAATTTGTTGTAGGTCTAGATATCGACAGATAGGGAGTAACGATGCCAATCAATACTGGCGGAGCTCCGGAGATGGAGAAACCAGCGCCGTCACACCAGCCGGGTTTAACAGTCTGGGTCGTTGTTTGTATTACACATTTATTTTTGTAAGGGCGGGCCAGTGTGATATCTATACTATGAAATGGATAAATAAATATGTATGATCTGTAACCAGTTGTTATTATTTCAAAATTCCTCTCCTTACATAATTTATCGTCTTCTTCTTCGTTTATAAGCACTAAGTACTTACTTGTTAAGACAAAACTACAACACAAAAACTTCAATAATCATGTATGTATGACAAAAAAAAAATCATCCTAATTGCATAAAAAAATCTTTAGAAGTAACTTCGGAGGAGTTTTTCATACATAATAAATAACAGCAGTAATTGTAAATAAACATTATTTATTCGAATTAATCTAAATAAATACCATATACAACAATATTTGCGAAGATGTGACAATTTTCAAAGTTGTGCGCAACAAATCCGTCTCTCTGATGGTCCCAAAGGAAGGAGTGGAACACGTGAACGCTCTGCTGCCGCTTCTGGCCAATCGACACCGACACTATTATTCTGTACCTAAGAGATAAATTCGAGTTATAAACAAAACACAATATCACAATCACAAGGGTATATAAATAGACGAACTACTTAACTAGTAAACGCCAATAAGTAAGGTAAGTTTCCTCGAGACCAACCATCAAATTGTTGCAGATATCTATCGGTAGTGGTCACTTCGCAGTTTAGTGAAATCGGGTGGCAGCTTGTGCGTGTACCACCGTATATTGTAGAAAAAAAAAACACTTAAATCTTCTTTACGTTTTGTAACATCTTACAAACAATACTATGTATCGACCAAAAGAAAAATCATACCTATCATAAGCTTGCTCTTTAATAATTGTTCTAATGTTTTCAGCAAGACTAGTACACAAATCAGGAATTACTTTTTCGTTGTATTCGACCTCTTGCAATTCGGAGTCGATGTGCTGTTGAAGTATTTTCTTAACATCTTCAGGGTTAAAACTTTTTCTTGACTCTAGTTGATACGTCGGTTGATAAATCCGAATCTGTTTCGACAGAGACTTATTTTCAGACATTGTTTTTTAATTAAGTGAAAACTAGTACTTTTCCACAATTGCGACAGATTTTAAATGCTGAGAAACTACTGAGCGAATATGATATCGGTTGATTGACTCTTGGCATAACTAAAGTACGAACAAGAGGTTTTGTTTAATCGATAGCCTTAGATGTCGTCTCTTAAAGTCCAACTAGAAGACCAACTAGAAGTAATCGAAGGCATCGCATAGGTGGGTAGGTGGGAATGTGAGAAATGAAAATTAAATGAGGCGCAAAAAGGTTTTAATAACTGACGAACAAATCTTTTGCGTACACGTATTTTGAAAAAATCCATTGATATCCATTCGGCGCGATAGGTCGGTAAAGTCAACTTATTTAAATGTTCGCTAGTGGATTCAGCCTTCAACTTTCTTTAGATTAGTGTGTGGTCGTTATAATCGCACTCGGACTATATAAAATCTTTCGAGGGCTTTATGCAATGTAAACGACAAAAAAATAGTCAAACATGTCTTTTTTGGGAAACTTAAGTTTTATATACTATCGAGTTTCCGCTAATCTTACCTTTCGTTCTACCCTAATAATCTGTGGCCGACTCGAGACCACGACTTAACTTAACCGAGTAATTTGAAGAAGTAAAATACTTGCCAATTTCTGTTTGCTGAGATGGCGACCCAGTATTATATCGCGTAACTTTAAAGATGTTCTCTTAGATTCTTTCGACATTTTTATTATGTATCTGACAAAACGTTAGATCAGTTTAACCAACTAGATTTAATAAAAAACATAATTAAATGAAAACTGCTGTCTACAAAAAGCTGTGATTGCCTTTTTTGTTCATTTAAGTTTGGATTAAAGGTTCCGTAGCACGGCCGTAGAATAGAATTAAAAACTATTTATATTGTGAAAACCTGGCATCTGACACTCAATGTCACTGTCAGAAAAGTCTGATAAATCGTTTTAAGTTTTCAAATACAACACAGTTTATATACAAAAAATGTATTGACATCGACAACAACAACGTACAATGCAATTTAATGCATGGAGAGGTTTGGGCACTATAAATACGTAGAAACTACAGATTTAGGTTGATCAAATAATTTGACAGATTGGTGTTGGGCATATTTTATTGTAGTTTACATTCGGCTTATCAGCGGCATGAATAAGGTGTTTTTCAATACTTATTGATATTTTGCAGTGTTGAACTGTAATCCATAAAAAGGGTAAAAAAACATAAAATAATTAGATTGTTGATGATTTCTTTTTTTTTACAGATGATAACAGATTATTATAGAGTTAATCGCACTAAAGTTGTACAAAACATGGAAGGTACTCCTAAAAAAAGATATAATTTAAGTTTAAAATCATCGACGCCAAATAAGGTGGTGAAAACTGACGAACCTGTAAATGTTATTAATTTATGCAGTGATGATGAAGACGCAGATAGTACTACAAACAAAACTAGCAGCGTTGTTCAATCTTCTCCAATGTGCTTACAATTTGATGATACATCTACTACTAATACTACTATATTATATACTCCCATGACTCCCACCAATACTTATGAGAGCACTCCGAACAAAAAAGTTGATAGTCCTGGAACTTCAAAAAAGTTTTTTTCTCCAACTAAAAATCGTCGTGTAAATACACCACAGAAGGCAAAAAAGAACTTACACAGCATATTTAGTTCTAATGTTGTGACATCAGCAGATGATGCCTCATTCCCTGAAGGATTTAAAAGTTATGATGATAAGAGTAAGTCATATTTATCTATATTTGTTACAACTTAACTTGGAACTCAGACGGAATGCAATTCTTTATTCCCACATTAGCATTATGCATTCAGTATGAATAGATATATTTATTTAGTTCTAGCTGTTGCCCATAACTTTGTCTACGCAATAAAGTAGCCTATAATATGCCCGTCTTTGTCAGCTACTCTTACATAAAAGTCTGGTCTGAATTGGTCCAACCGTTTTGGAAATTACCCAGAAAAAAAAACATGGTTTTGCAGACAGACAAAAAAAATAATTCCGAGTTTCGTTATAAGCAACGCAAATACATCATCTTTCCAAAATCTGGTATCTTTCTTTTCATATTATAAACAGACACTCCATTTTTATTACATATGACTCATAAGAAAACTTTCATCTGCCCGTCTCAAGTTAATTTGTATGGGTTATATATTTGATATTTATGTTACTTGTCATTTATTAACTTTTGTAATATAATTTGTGTCCAGCTATGTTTCTATTGAAGATTATTCACAAATATCTTAATGATGAGTCTCTGAGGAAACTGCTACCTGAACACTTAGACAAGCTTCTAAGTAAGACTGTGGATGTAATGAAGCCAGGCTTGCGTCTGATATGTAGATTGTTCTGGCGCAAAAGATGCTGGTACAGAAGAGAAGAAACTAAGAAGATTGCAAGTGGAGACAACATTATTGATGATCCGCATTTTGAATTTATGATCAATTCTTTAGTAGAACAAGGCTTTATAAAGTATTCTGTAAATGATGGTAAGATATAATATTAATTTTAAAGTGTTACTGAATTTGTATGACTTACAGTTCTTTCAGAAGCTTTTAATATGGATGTTGCCAGTTGATAATTTGGATAGATTTAGTGGATCAGCTACTATTTTTATGGCATTGTCCAAAGATATTTTATATTTATTCTACATTTTTTGATTGTTTAGCAACAGGAAGTTACCTCATCTCTCTCTTGCCCCCCTAGTGACACAAATGTGTAATTTTTTTTACAGTAAGTTGTATGACATTCGAGGATTATGTGGAAGTATTGAAGCTTAATGAATTAAAAGATGTATGCAAAGAGTTAAATATTAAAGTGAAGACTAAGCAAGAGGCGATAACTTCTTTAAAGAACTTCATTTCGCGTACTGTTAATATAAGCAATTATTTCAAAGGTGAAAAGAGTAATAATGCAAACAGGGGAATGGAAAAGTAAGTAACACTACTGATTAGTTTTTACTCCATTTTAATTTTGTAAATGTAATAATTACACATTTCGTAATTCTGAATTTTTCCATGGTAAAATAAAATTGTTTATATATACGTATTTTTATACAAGGGAAAGGTTAGCTTTTTTTTATGTAATGAAAAAACTCAAAATCAACTGAACCAATTTTTTTCAAATTCTTTAGTTATCAGATAATTACAATTCAGAGTACTTGCTTTTTATTTATTTTATTACTTCAAAATCTCATATTGAATACAAGTACATATAGTTCTTGAGACATTCTTTTTAAAAACAATAATTATGTCAATTTAAGCATGAACAAGGTCATAAGCAAAAGCTTTTTCTTTTTTTTTTTCAGGTTAAGAATCAAAGCTGGTATATGCTACAAATTAAGTGAAAATGCTGATGTAACATTTACGAAATTATATTATCTAATGTACTTTGGAGTGGACTACAGTATAATTAGAGAAAATAAGTTGGAATTAATACTTCTTAATATGAAAGTTGGAAAGGAAATTTACCCAGTAAATGATGATATTACCATGGATAATGCAACTGTTGTTTTTAATACAAGAGATGAATTCGAAAGGTAAAATATTATTTTATGATAAGAAATTTTGATATCAAATAGAGCGTCTGTAGCTCAGTGGTTTGAACACTTGACTTGTAATCTACTGGTCTTGGGTTCGAATCCCGCCATGTACCTATGTGATTTTCGAATTTTCACATGTACATAATTTACCCGACGTTCTTACGGTGAAGAAAAACATCGTGATGCAATCTGCACATATCTGCGAAGAAATTCAAAGATATGTGTGAAGTCAACCAACCCGCACTTGGCAAGCATGGTTGAATATGGCCTATTCACCCCATATTAGGGTAGGCTCCGAGCCCCTCGGTGGGGAAATATAGTGAGCTGGTGATGATGAAAAAAATCAGGTTAAATATATATCTAGATAAATTTAAAATCCCCAAACTATACAACTAACAAGCTGCTAGTTGGTCACTTTTTTTGTGACTGAGTGGCCACTGTTTGCCTTGAAGAGGCATTTACAGATTCACCGAGCTTGAGGTGGCCGAGCGCAAATGGCGCTTAGCCTAAACCTCGTTTATGAGTAACTAAGTTTGAGGGTTCTCTCAGGAGCCTCGCTACGAGTCGTTACTTCGTTATTATTGCCGGATTAGGAGGCAACCAAGCTCTTAGATCGCTTTGGTGGACGGAGTTGGTCACTTAAAGTAATATAATTAAAGAATAAAAGTTATTATCTTATATAATTTTTAATATTTTCAGTTACATCAATGCATATACAATATCAGAAAAATGGCACTCAGCAAATAGTACTGATGAAAAAATTGCAATCAGCTCTATGGTTGGTAGTTTGTACAAGAATCTTAGTGAAGAAGAATGGAATTAGTAAGTAAAATAGCTGTTGATTTTTTCCTGTATATAATAAAAAAAATGGAGTAGTCTATGCTCTATTTTAAACAGTAATCTATCTCTGTTCCAAATTTTATCCAGATCTGTTTTGTATTTACATTGCAACAAACATCCATACATTGAAAATTTTGCGCAATATTGGTGTTTTTTATCTATGGTTGAATTTAATGTAAATAAGAATTTATATTTACACATGTCACTGGCTGACGATCATTTATTGTCTATTGATTTACTTTAGACAACTTTTAATCTTTAAATTGATACAAGTTTTTTTTAATAAGTCTGTGTAATATACCCTTGTAAAGGTAACAAATTATATATCTATATTTCATTAAAAATGTACCTTGTTCCTTACACTTATTTTTTACAGTTACAAATCATTACCATCGTGGTTACGAAAGTATACACCGGGACATATATACATCAAGATATTAGAAAAAAGTGTGCCAGAGTTGAAAAAGATGAAAGAGAAAAAATATATTAAACAAGCATTGAAAATTCTAACTACTTTAATACGACAGTCTGCCTTCAGACAGCATAAAAAGTCCTTATGGTATGCAGAAAAAGCTCTTATTTTGGAAAAACATGAGAACTCTGACCAAAAGGTATTATATAGTTTTTTTTATTAACAAGTATATGTTCATTCCGTTGTGACCGATATTTAATGTATGTGTTCACAAATAAATAAAATGTTTTCATTGACCGATTGATTATCAGTTTACCAAAATACTTTAGTTATAATTGTCTTTTTAATATATGTATTTATTTTAATTAATTTTAATAATGTTTATAGTAAATTTTACTAATATGAGAAATTTTATCTACGCACTAGCTGTTCCCGTGCGACTTCATCCGCATAAAATTATGAAAAATTTATTTTATTGTTTACATGTGTCAAATGTGTTTCCTTGATGTTGGCAGCAACTTATGGTCTCTTTCCCACATTAGGATTTTTATCTAAAATATTTACCCCCTAAGTTTAATGGCGTTAAAATATATAGCCTAGAGCGTGACGCAAGTGTAGGGCTTTTTATTAAAAAAAAAGGATTGTTCAAAAATATGCTGTAATTGCTGACATTTTAGGCAATAAACAAGTGTGTGTTTACACTTTATTATAATAGTATAGAGTATAGATAATTTTCATAGTAAATTTTACTAATATGAGTAATTTTATCTACACATATCACTGACAGGATTATTACATTGTCTATGGATTTATTTTGGAACCTTTTCAGTTATGATATTACAGCTAAAATTGTTTTGATAGGTTTTTTTTTATTTTTAATTGTTTTATATTTCAGGCTGCTGAAGTTTTGTTAGAAGGGCTGAAGTCTGATATAGAGGAGGATTGTAAATGTGAGATGCGGCCGCGAGCTCTGAAACTGGCAACACAGAAGTGTAACGAAGTTGGTGACGAACTGCGACAAGAATTACTCCAGTGTGCTTTACTAAACCCTCTCAAGGAGAATGATTTTGAAGCTAGACATATTTATAAACAACCCAAAGAGTGAGTGCTGATTTTAAAATATTAACATATTCCAACGACTCGTCCTGCGTTATTTCATTCCAGACAACGATTCCAGCGTCGAATTACAACTGGACAAATTTAATGTACTCTGGATTCCACATTGTGCCATCCAGTGTTATTGAGAAATTTTTGTTGTAATCTGACATTAGATTCAACCACCAGACTGGAATAATTCAAATTTGGCATAACTATTTTCTACACATTATATGCCCTTATTCATTATTTCCTAATTTTATTAAAAACTAGCTGTTCCCGTGCGACTTCATCCGCATAAAATTATGAAAATATTATTTTATTGTTTACATGTGTCAAATTATCAATTGCAAATGTCAAAATGACATGACAATGACAAACCATGGCTACCTTGCTTCCTTAATGTTGGCAGCAACTTATGGTCTCTTTCCCATAAAAGGGTTTTTATCCAAACATTTACCCCTAAGTTTAATGGCGTGAAAATATATAGCCTAAAGCGTGACGTAAGTGTAGGGCTTTTTATTAAAAAAAAATTATTCAAAAATATGCTGTAATTGCTGACATCTTAGGCAACAAAGAAGTGTGTTTATAATAGTATAGAAGTATAGATATTCTGATGAAATCTAGAAATAAGTATTAAAAGTGGTAGTGCCCGCTTTAACATCTTAGCACGAATGGGCCGGCACGCCCGGTGTAGTACCACGACCACACAGAAGACAGGCGTGAAATGGA